TTGTTTAAGGGAATGGCTGACACTTTTTCATACACATCTTGCACTGTTACATTTCTGTTTAACTAAGATGTCATGTTGCTTGATTTGCTCGAAAATCAAGTCAAGCCCAGCTGAGCAAGGAAGTCTGAAAAAGTCTTTTTGCAGAATATTTAGCATGCTGCTTCTAAGCTGGTCTTTTCTGGCCAAGCAATTGGAAAATGTAGGAGACACCTGATTTTAAGATAAGGAAGGGCTGGTTCAGACATGATCCTGGACTGCTGATCTTACGACCAAGTGGCATGTGATGCTGGGGTTCTGCGGACTGGAACTCCAGTCATGCATTCTGCCCTTAAAGGCAGCTGGGGGTGGGCACATGGATAAGAGCTGTGGCACTAGGGAAGGGGGTGGTTAACTTTCTCCCCATGGAATTCCCTGGATCAGAAATGCCCTCCTGGCTGCTTTAAGCCTCGATAAGGGAAGAAAAGGCAAGTACCCCACCTTGAACTTAACTCCTTACTAGAGGGTCATTTTTGATCAGGGGAAAGGTGGGAGGGAAGAGTTACACCATTCATGACCCAGATCCCTGTCACTCCCCACACCTGACTTTTGCAGAAGTGTTGCATGTGGTTTGCCCTCTCATGCAAGGATTATCTGTGAGCAAATGCGGGCAGCAAATGACCGAATATTTGAGAAAGACAGTTTTAGACATTAGGCAAAACATGATGGCTAATTAAGGCCTGGGCCTACTCATGCAGCAGAGGCCCAATTAGACATTAGGCAAAACATGATGGCTAACTAAGGCCTGGGCGGCTGCCCCAGGCTCCATGCTGGTGAGGCCCCAACCACCCATGGCTGTGCCTCTGCCCCCGATGGAGAGGATCAAAGAAGAAAAACAGCAGATTGCTGCCCCTGTCACTCACACCTGGTCCATTCAGGGCTCTGGCCACCCACTCATGGCAACAGCAACTGGCACTCCCTCTGTCCAAGTCTTGGGCAGCTGACTTCCCACTCATGGCAACAGCAACTGGCACTCGCTCGGGCAGCTGGCAGTGACTGCTTATACCTGCTCCACCTGGGCATTGGACAGATGGCTTCTGGTGATAGCTCTCCCTTGCCTCGCACAGGACAAGGATCATCCCTTGTTTGACCCCAGCAGTGGGGTGGTTGGGGGTAGTGATTTGGGGGCTTCATTCTGGATTTTTGGTCCAGAATCACCCCTTTGACCACCCAAAATGCCTATGCTGAAGATCATGCATCTTGCATGAACTAAAAGCTATCTGGGATGGGCTGTAATGAAGAGGAGAATTGGGTGAGATTGATAGAACAAACCCACTGAATCTAGCTCCACAGGTTTCACACAGAGCCTACTCTAAATTTTCCAACCTGTAGCTTTACTCACATCTTCACATTATTTTTTCCCCATGGTTATCATGGATACCTCATTTTTTAAACAAAAGCAAACAAGACAACTCCTGCAAGGCATTGGTTCCACTTTCATCACTGCCGAGGGATGACGGATGGAGGGATGAGACAACATGACCAGATTAATTTCTTTTTATATAAGCTTCATATTTTCTCAACAGAGTTCCCTGCTTTTTGCAATTGGCTGTTTAGATTCAATTGTAATGTTTACATACATACTACTTATACAAGTGATTCTATACATACAATATATGTCTTGTATACACACAACATAGGTATAATGCTTGCTTACTCATGCACAAATAACATTTTAAGATGCCTAATATTTTCCAAATATTTGATGCAAGCAAACCGAAAATGTCAGACTTTTTTTTAATGAAAGGAGAAGCAAACTTGAAAACACGGATTTGGGGGTCAAAACTGCAGGGATGAGGAATTCAAAATAATCTTTAGATTTACACTATAAGATCATGGCTTAAATTCTGAAGGAGAATTAAAAAGAAGACCAGCGGCACTTTAAGGACTAACAAAATTTATTCTAGCATATGATTCCATGAGTTAAAGTTCACTTCATCAGATGCATGACGTGTACATCCATAGCAGATATATTTATACTTAAAATAACCAGTTCTATTACTCTTCTGAAATAGAGGAATTCTTACAGTGCAGGTAAAACAAAGAGGAGCTGCTGGTGCCTTTTATATGAAGTCAGAAAGAAGGCAATGCTGGTATCCTGCTAAGGGACTAAATTAGATAGCTTTTAAAATATTTGATAGTAATGGAGGATAGAGTTACCAATGGCTATTACTCATAAAGCCTCCAAGATCACAGGCAATCTACCTCTGAATACCAGATACCTGTGCATAAACAGGGGATAATTGCTGCTTTCATGCCATGTTTGCAGATTTGGAGGAGGCGCGTGGCTGGCCAGTGTCACAAACTGAATCCTAAGTGTTGGTAAGTTTATATCTCGCCTTTCTGTAAGTATATATATTGAAAAACTTAGAAAGTACATGAAAATGACAGTAAAGAGGAACGTTTTTACTAATTCCAAAGCTATCCTTTAATTAATTTGTCAGCTTTTTTAAAAATCACATTATTTTCCATATGGCCATGGCTTGTGTGCCATTTAGAGATTTCCATGGTATACCAAGAAAGCACAATATTGTACACGTGAGTAAGAAGGTCTAGGAAATGGGGGACCCCATGCACAGGACAGATTCAGGCAACAAGAAAAATGCTGTAGAGCAGGGAAAGATTAAATGGAATGCAATTTCATGAAAGTGGGGGAGACATTCTTGGAAAAGCAAAATGGCTTACTTTATACTATTTCAGTAAGCTACCACATTTTTATCCCATGCGTCTTCCAAATAATTTAGAGCAATCTATGTGACTTATTTATATACTTATTTTTATTTAAAGATTTAAATATTTTCTTCTGAAGAAGACGCCCGTGGTGTGATCGCGCTAGCACATAGCATTCCCCTCTGGTCCCTCCTTTACCTGCCGGCGCCGAGGGAAGGACCCGTGGTGTGCTGGCGGCGCGTCTGATTGCGTAATTATGGATCAAACTGTGCCAGGGCACTTAGCCATGCCTCCTCCCCACGATATCTGGCCCGTGTGACCGGGGCCACAATTCAGTAAGCTACCACATTTTTATCCCATGTATCTTCCAAATAATTTAGAGCAATCTATGTGACTTATTTATATACTTATTTTTATTTAAAGATTTTTAACATTTTCTTCTGAAGGAATGGAGACCAAACTGGCTTAAAAATAAATAAATCCTAACAACCATTTGAGTTAGGTTAAGATAAGAGAGTGAGTGACCCAAAGTCAACTACTGAGCTTTATGGCTAAGTAGGGATTTGAACCTGGGCCTCTCGAGTCCTAATCTAACACTTTAAGCAATACACCACATACTGGCTCTGCATAATTGCTGTAGTAGAGAAGAAAACATTCATGAATGATACCACATTTCAACTCATTACCTGGAACTGAAATCAATGATGATTGCTCTTAAAGATGCACTAGCAAAACCTGCTCATCTGTCTTATACCTTGAATAAAACTTTGTTGGTCTTAAAGGTGCCACTGGATTCAAACTTTGTTCTGTTGCATTGTTAGCAAAAGTCCAAATTGAACTTTACCAGTTCTATTAATTGAAGTGTGTTAAATGGTGCCTTAGTGTTCATGCGCTTGTATTAACCTGCCTACACATTAGCAGACAGATGGTCCAACCCTCACTCACATGTATATTTCTTTCCAAGACTTAGGAGGGTATTCCAGCTGTTCATGTTAACAATACTTCAACATTCCAAAAAAAACAGAGAAGGATTTTGGTTCAGGTAACAGGTAGCTGAGACTCTGGAGAGTTGCTGCCTGACCTTCGGAGCTATGTGAACCAATCTATGTATTTACATATTTACACCACACTTTTTAACCCAAAAGGAGGAAAGGCAGCATGGTATAGCCTGATCTTATCAGATCTTGGAAACTAAGCAGGGTTGGTATTGGAAGACAATAGCAAACCAGCTCTGTCTCTTGCCTTGCTGGAGTCACCATCAGTCGGTTGCATGGTGACAGTACATACATATGTTTTACCCAATGGAGACTGAAGGTGGCTTACAACACTGTTCTTAGAATCATAGAGTTTGAAGGGACCTCCAGGGTCATCTAGTCCAACCCCCTGCACAATGCAGGAAATTCACAAATACCTCCCCCTCCACAACCTACACATTAGCAGACAGATGGTCCAACCCTCACTCACATGTATATTTCTTTCCAAGACTTAGGAGGGTATTCCAGCTGTTCATGTTAACAATACTTCAACATTCCAAAAAAAACAGAGAAGGATTTTGGTTCAGGTAACAGGTAGCTGAGACTCTGGAGACTCGCTGACTGACCTTCGGAGCTATGTGAACCAATCTATGTATTTACATATTTACACCACACTTTTTAACCCAAAAGGAGGAAAGGCAGCATGGTATAGCCTGATCTTATCAGATCTTGGAAACTAAGCAGGGTTGGTATTGGAAGACAATAGCAAACCAGCTCTGTCTCTTGCCTTGAAAAGTGCTTGCTGGAGTCACCATCAGTCGGTTGCAAGTTGACAGTACATACATATGTTTTACCTAATGGAGACTGAAGGTGGTTTACAACACTGTTCTTATAATCATAGAGTTTGAAGGGACCTCCAGGGTCATCTAGTCCAACCCCCTGCACAATGCAGGAAATTCACAAATACCTCCCCCTCCACACCCACAGTCACTGCTGTTCCACGCCCAGAAGATGACAAAAAAAATCCTCCAAGATTGCTTCCTGACCCCAAAGTGGCAATCAGCATTTCCCTGGGCGTGTTAAAAAGGGCCACAAGAACTAAACACTGATATATTTTTTTGAAATTAGAACTTCTTAGAACTTCTGTTTTATGGATTTACCATTTTGATAGATTTACCAAGACAGATACTGGAAAATCAGAAGTCCTTGGTAATTAGGAGTGGGGTTGCCCTTCTTTTGCCACTCAGTCTTGGTCAGAACTTTTATACTTTGATTCTTTACCATAGTTTAGGGATGAGTATGCTGGTCAAAGGGCCGTACCTTCAGATGGATCAAGTCTCCTAGCTCTTCGTCCATGTTTTGAATTGTTATGAACAAACATGTTGTCAGAAACTGCCAGTACATGCCCATCCACATTCACTGTTGTCGATAACACCACCTGGATATTGAAAAAAAGGAAGGAGAAGAAGATGGCAGGTAAATTACTTTCACCAATCCAAGTCCAATGCATTAATTTTTCAGTCAAGTTAAAATCCCATTCAGTTTGTAAAAAGAAATTGTTGCCTGTGGGATTTTATTCTCTTATTGGCAGGGAGGGAACTCTTTCTGTCTTGCATTAATTCCATTTAGTGTAAAGGCCATAAAAGCCTCATGGCTTGGTAGTGTAATATACCAATGACTGGAGATGGTTCTTACTTTTCCTCCGACACATACTTGTTACAGGTGGTGCATGAAAAAGAAGTCCTTTGGCTCAATTCACTGGTGGGCCCCACACCCATCACTACAATTGCATCCACAATATATGCTCTTAAACAGTGTTTTTCACCCACCTTTAATTCCCCAGGCAGAAGCATGGGACACACTAAAGTGAAAGCACATGACAGGACATGGCATGGCATCAGAATCATGTGACATCAGAGTCAAAAGACTGGAAGAACCTGGCGTGTGCTAAGAGGGAATCCTCTCTACCACTGAGTGACTTCACCCATGCCAGGCAGGAGGTGTGATGCCTTTGCTCTCTACCTTCAAAAAAGGAATAAGAAATGCTGGCTCTGTAAGGGCTCGCAACCCCCCAATGGTACCAGCTGTGGTCAGAAGACCAGTATGGCATGTATTTAAAAGGCATTCCTTTCTAAAAGACTCTGTGTACAGTTTTCTCAACACACCTTCTAAGAAAAAAAAGTTCCTTAAAAAAACAATAGTATGGACCATCTGTCCCTTCAAAGGGAAGCATCACTGGTAAGTCAATGGGGTGGTTTTGAAAACACCAGCCTCTAGTTACCAATATCTTTGGTTAGCTATCCATACACGATAATGTGAATGAAAACGATACTCTCAGCAGACTGACTACCTGAATCTATTTATTTAGGATACTAAATAATTTTAGAGTCCTAAATATTTGACTTATAACTCACCCTGAGCCTGCTATGCGGGGAGGGCAGAATATAAGTAGAATAAAATAAATAAATAAAATAAACCTTGAACCAAGAGGAAAGGCAGGATATAAAAGTTTAAATAAATACACAAAGCAGCTTTCTCCAGTCCCAGACTCAAGGCAGCTTACAATATTTTTAAACAGTTTTACAAGAAAGCATTAAAACAAAGCACCTCCAGAGGCCACACATTTTTTTTAAAAAAACAACAACCATAGAAAGGTTTGGCTCACATTAGCTGAAGATGATGTCTTTCAGAGAAGGACCCACCCACATAATGGCCATCAACATCAAGGGCATCTCTACGCACATACTCAAGCAAACAGGGAAATCCTAGTTTTGTGCATGGCTTAGGAAATTCTGAAAATTCTCAGCCCCTGCTGTATCTCCCAGAATTCCTTGGGAGCAGCTATATCAGGAGAACTGATCATTGGGAACACCATCACCAAAACTCACAATGAAGACCTATGAAAGGAATAAGAACAGACTTTTATACCCCACTTTTCTCTACCTTAATGAGTCTCAAAGTGGCTTGCAATCACATTAGGGCTGCCAAGTGGGGGCGGGGGGTGGGTAACCCCCTGCCTTGGAGGCCCGATTTCCACCGCTGCGGAATGAGGCCCCGGGGGGAACTCTGCCCCCCAGAAGCGCAGCGTGGCTGCGTCACCAGAGGTGACGCAACCATGTTGATCACGGGGGCGTGGCCCTGATCGGCGAGTTTTCCCTCCGACGATCGGGGTCACGCCCCCAACATGATCGACGTCACGCGTCACTTCCGGGACATACTGGTGGCACGCGCGCATCGGAGGAGAGCTCCCGGAGCCCGGTGATGCTCCCCCGCCGGTAAGGAGATTCCACTTGGCAACCCTAAATCACATTCCCTTCCTTGTGAGGTAGGTGGGGCTCAGAGAGTTCTGAAAGAACTATGACTGTCCCAAGGTCACCCAGCAGGCTTCATGTGGAGGAGTGGGAATCAAACCCAGTCCTTCAGATTAGAATCTGTTGCTCTTAACCATTATACCACAATAGTGTTCTAACTAATCCATACATCTCTAGATAATGTCATCAGGTTACACAATAAAGGTAATTATGTAAACCACTTTTAGTGCTTAAATCCTGGTTCATGGGCAAGAAACAATCTCAATCTGATGAATCAACTATAATTCAGATGTCACAACAAGCTGTGGTTAGACTAAAGATTTCCTAAAGTAGGAAATATTCACTATCAGTTCTATGTATGAACGGAGATGGTGCGTGAAATGGAGAATAAACCAGACTTATTCTCATAACAAACTAACCAGAGTTTTTTCTTTACATAACGTAAATCCATGTTTAATTCTAACTGTGGTTTGTTTGTCAAAACACAATTGAATGTACAGTCAAACCTTGGTTTGTCTCAATAAATGCTGGTTTCATGGCCTCTTCTCAGCGGGTATTCCTGCCTGCATTGTGGTGAGGACAGCACAAAGGAACAAGCCAAAATGAAGCCAGGATGGCCTGTGACATCATAGTTAAGACCAGCTGAGGTTAATAAACCTACTTTGAGCCGTGGCTTCCAATATTAACAGGATGTATTCTAACTAGCTATACTTGGTGGAGTGGCCCATAGTTGGACCATCACACTAACTGCAGGTACCGTAATTAAATCATGGTTTCGCAAATCATATGAATGGATTCCAGGAAAAGAATTTCTGCCTTTAACAGTTGATAAACTGTGCTTCGCCTACAGGAAGAAAACCTGCTCTAATGGAGAATTTTATGCTGACTGAAAGAATGCTTTCTTTTCCTGAAACAAACTTAATTCATTCCAAAAGGCCCTTGTCATACTGTACATGAATGCTGCTCTCGCATCCCTGCCACAAAATGTGCTGCTTTCATGTGCCAACAGATTTCATCATTGCGTACTTGGGTGGAGTTAAGACTCTATTCCAATGTGAACATTTCCCCTGTGACATAACAGAGCCCACTCAGATGCACTTCATTATTTTCTCTTAAACAATGGAAATAAATTTTAATCTCTCACTGGCCAGCCCAGACCACACTACGACAGCAAGGGAATAAGGCTGAATTATTCCAGTGTCTGAAATATTTACGAGAAGATTTTAAATTGTAACCAAATGTAAATCAAAAAGTATATTATTGCACATGCATACAATACACACACACAAATACACACAAATCCAACCACACACATGCAGGCACTATATTATATACATCCACTGGGATGGTATAAACATATATATGTGTGTAGCATACAAACAGGCAACCACAGTGCATTGTGAAATATCTTTATGACTGCTTTTTTGAACTATATACAGTGCATTTGGCTGGATGGAAAGAGGGAGGGGGCATCCAAGTCATTAATGTGTGGGCCAAGAGTTCTCCCGGAATTACCACTGATCTCCAGACTGCAGAGATCGGTTCCCCCAGAAGAAATGGCAGCGTTGGAAAGCAGACTTTATGGGATCACATCTCCGCTGCCCTCTGCCCTCTTGAGGTGCCAGTCCCAAATCTCCAGGAATTCCCCAAGCGGGATTTGGTAACCATAACAGTCTCCAGGAATTCCCCAAGCGGGATTTGGCAACCATAACAGGCAGCCTCTATTTTCTCCAATGGAGAAACTGACCTGCAGCCAGATCAGTTGCTGTTTGCCAACAGAGCAAATCGCAGCTCTCTGTACTGCATAAATTAGTTGCTCCGGAGCCATCCTTCCTGAGCTAAGACAAAAATGTGTGAGACGGAGGCTAAGAAATTGTGAGCTAGCTCACACTAACTCAGCTTAGAGGGAACAGTGACAGGCAGCCTCTGTTTTCTCCAATGGAGAAACTGACCTACAGCCAGATCAGTTGCTGTTTGCCAACAGAGCAAATCACAGCTCTCTGGGACTCTTTCAGTTCCGTTCTTGGTCCCATCCCTTCCTCAGTCCTACCTCCCTAACTACAAGGCCCTGTCTACACCACACTGTGCACGAGCTGCGAACAAAAGGACCCATAATTTCCTTTGCTGGAGGTACACATCCTGCATTCGGAGTCTACATATATTAGGGTATCCACCTTTCAGGATAAGTCCCTGGACAGATGGGAACTCCACCACTAGGGTCTGAGTGTAATAAGGAGGTGAAATTATGACTCTTCCCACACATATACTGTTGTATGTACATTGTGACCATATGTTGAAGAGAAATCAAGTGACTGATATGCAAGTATGAAATATCCTTCAGTGAGGAAAATAGATGCATTTGGCCATTTGTATAGCTTGCAAGCTGACTGGGAAAAAAAATGAATTGCCCCTTTAACAGAGGTGTAATAGGATGATGCTATTTAGGGACAGGAAGCTTTTCATGCCATGTAGGTAGAGAGCACCATCCTGTTAAGGGACAGGACATTTCTCTCTAGGCCTATTGGCAACCCTACATAAGATCATCTTGCAATCGACTGAGTTGGCTGAATGGATCCTCCGTGTTCAGAGCCACTGAATACTAATTACAGGAGGACAATAATAACAACAGCAGCAGGAGGAGGATTTATACCCTGTCCCTCACTTGGAGTCTCAGAGAGGCTTACAATCTCCTTCCCTTCCTCTCCCTACAACAGACACCCTGAGAGAGCTCTTTTGAGGACTGCTCTTGAAAGAACAGCTCTAAGAGAACTGTGACTGACCCAAGGTCACCCAGCTGGCTACATGTGGAGGAGTGGGGAATCAAACCTGGTTCTCCAGATTAGAGTCTACTGCTCTTAACTACTACACCAAACTGGTTATCAGTCTTCCCAGGGACATCTCATCTGAGTGGCTTCTTTGGGAAATAGGATTCTATTGACTCTTCCCCCCCTGCATAAGAGTTGCTATTTGCTTCTTTCAGGGAAAACATACAGGTATCTGTAAAAAAAAAAAAACATTCCCTACAGGGCAAGTTATAATTTGAGGGAGGAGAGTGGTGGTGGTAATTGGCTTTGGGGAAACTGCAGAGGGAAGGCTTCACCACCCAAGCACTATAGACATGCTCTGA